AATTTATACAATGTAAAATTATTATTATTATTATTAATTTAATTTAAATATATTAAAAATAAATATATAATTCATATGATAAATAAAAATTAAATTAAATAAAATATTAAAAATATTTTCAAAACACTGTCAAAAAATAATCTTTAAATAAGATAGTTGTTGGAGTTAAATATATAAGAGTTAATTATATAAATTTAACCATAAAAGTTATATTATAACAAAAATATAATCTGTTTTCTATGACCAATTTTGATTTCGTAGAGTCGTGTGATTATATATTATTCAAACCAATTATAACCAAAATCAATTTTGAAAATTAATTAAAAAATCAAATTTAATATTTAAAATAATTTTTAATTAAATATTACATAAATTAAAATATAATAGTTTATGAGTTAATCACACTGTCCGTGTAAAAAAAATTTATACTGACAATCAATTATATTTTGTAAATTTTTTTTACACTGACAACCAATTATATCTTTTAATTGTGTTATGTCACTGTTAAAAATAAATATGTTTATAATGACTTGACATAATTAAAAGATATAATTGATTGTATGAGGTTGCATAAGAATTAGAAAGTAAAAAGCGAAGAGTCTACCATTGCAAAAATTTCGGGGACGAAATTTCATAAAGGAGGAGAGTATTGTAACAGCCCAAAATCGTTGGGCCAGAGGCCCAATTCATTGCCGGAACGGGCCGTTTCAAAAGTGAAACGGGCCGTTCCGGAAGGAGAAAAATGCCCAAAATTGGAGAAGCAGAACGGGTCGTTCTGATTGTTAAAAATTGATGATTTATATGTGAATTGCTTGAGGTGTATGAAACCCTTATTTTGTTGGACTTATCTGTTGTGTATATGTGATATGTTATTGAGCTATAAGATGAGATGTGATGAATGTGAATATGATTATGATTGAGGTTCCTCACACTAATGACTAGGGATGGCACGGCCCCTGGGTAAGTGATGCTACAGGGAGGGCGTGACCCTGGCATGGTGTGGGATGAGTGAGGCAATTAACCTGTATCACTTGTGTCAGTTGTGGCATGGTCTTGACATAGTGTTAATTGTAAGATTTATGTGGATTATGATGGATTGATGTGATTATGATTGTGATGTGATTGTGGTTCCTCACATTATGACCAGGGGTGGCACAACCTTAGGCAAAGAGATGCTACAGGCGTGACCTTGGCATAGTGTAGGATGTGTGATTTCTCATGCTTATGTCGAGAGTGGCACGGCCTTGGACAAGAGATGTTACAGGCGTGACCTTGACATAGGATAGGATGTGTGAGGCAATTAATACTTATGTCGGGGGTGGCACGACCTTGGGCAAGAGATGCTATAGGCGTGACCTTGACATAGGGTTGATTACAAGATTTGTGATGATTGTTGTGATTGCGAATTATGACGTGATGATGATGCGTGATTGATAAAGTTATGATACATTGAAATGTTTATGAATATTTTGTTTAAGTATCGAGTTATAATGAGATGACATGTTGTGTGTTTGTATGTACTTTACATATAGATATTTTCTTTTCTCACCGTATAAATTGTGGATGTTTTAGGTAAAGAAGATCCGGCTGCGAGTGGTATCTAGAATGCCAACAGTTAAATTATGGGAATGCTCTGATATTGTGACATCGGGGCAGAGGATTTCTAGGACAGGATTTTTATATGGATTTAGAATTGTAAATATTATTTTGAAAACGATTTGTAAACTCTTGTGTTTGATTTTCTAAAGTTTTTATTGTGGTTATTGAAGAACGATTTTTTGAAGATTCTCATGTGAACCCTTTTACCGAAATAATAAAATTTATTTGTAAGTTTTCATTATTACAATATATGTATTGGGGTAGTAAGGGTGTCACAGAAGCTAGGAGGAGGAAGAAACTTGATTCCTTCTCCAATGGCTCCACAGATTCAAGTTGCTTTGTTTGAGGCTCCTTGTTGCACCTTTGCCGAATGAGATGGAGGAAAATGTGGTTGGAATGTGAAGGAGAAGAGGAATTAGTGTGATGCTCTTCTAGAAAAGAAGAAACAACTTGTTGTGACCAAATTCACAAGGAAGGTTCCCTTATGGAGAATTCTTAAGGATGAGTGTTCTCCTTGATGACTCTTGAGAGAGAGAAGAGAGATTTCTAAAAATGAAAAACTCATATATGATCAAAAGTGTCAACAAATACAAGGAAATATGTTTATATTGATTTGGAGGGAGACTAGGAGTAGAAGGAAACACCTAGGCGCCAATTTTGGATATTTGAATTTGAAATTCAAATTCAAATCTCCTTGGTCGAGAATGTTCCACTTTCTCCACAGCTCATGTGCCTTCAAATTTGAATGGAATGAAATTTTAGATTCATTTCCATTTAATTTAGTCATGCATGGAATGCATGACTCAAATTAAGTGGAAATGAACTCTAAATTTCATTTCATTTCATTTCAAATTAACCCACCTAAACTCTAAAACTCCTATACTAAGTGACCTATGTATACAAGGTCTAAAATTTCTATGCAATCATTTCTAAAATAAAAAAGATAAATAACATAAGACCTATATTGGCCATATAAATCCTAAAGCCCATGGAGCCCAAAACTAAGTCCAACTCAACATAGGCACCAAAAATCGTAATCTAAGAAGTCCAAAATTCAAGGCTAAAAATATAAAATCAACATACATGATTTATATACATAGGAGCAAATCATATGTGGACCTTAAGATAAAGCCCAAGTAAACAAAAGCTTGGGCCCACAATCCTCTGAGATGGCCCACTCTTCATGCATCATCCTAATCATAACTCTAGTTGTGAGTCCTTTGGCTAGGCCTTATCCATCATTCATGACTTTATGGATAGCCAGGTTTAAGAAACTCAATTTTGCCCAATTGTGTGCTTGGAGTGTAACTTACTTAACACCATTATCTCAACATGCACCAGTGTATATCTTCTTAGTGTAGAGTTTTGTAATGGATTGACCTGACATGTTCTCCTTGGCCATGCTATGTGTGCCTTAGGACAAGTGTCGAAATATTTTACTGGCGCCACATGCATTTAGTAAGGAATTTTGTGTCCATTAGATTGTTGTGAACATAATGATTGTGTGTTGATTAGATGTGAATTATGAATAATGGTTATAATGAACTTGGAGTACTTGATTGTGCAATTGACCTATATATGTGATGTGTATATGTAATGCTTTACTATGTGTGACTACCCGACATCGGTAGTTAGAGTGGAATGTTTCGTACTTTTTTTCTCTCTTTGTTGTTATTTGGTGTATATCTATAGGCGAAGTTCATCATGAGGATGATGAGACTGGAGATAAGGCTTAGGCCTTGTGCGAGGATATATTTTGATAGGATGTAACATTAGGACAGTAATTAAGATTATATTTCTATTGACTAATTTTTATGTTAGGACTTGATGTAAGATTTCATTTTGTTATTACTCTACTAGATCTCAATTTTATTTATTGTGTTAGTTTCATTCATATGGCATACTTCTACTCAAAGGATTTGCATTATTCAATAAAATTCTTTTCAAAATTCTTTTCTTTAATCATTAAATTATATGCGTATGTTGGAACAAAAGGTAGAAAATGTACAATTATAATTTTACAATAATAACAACAATAATAATAATAATAATAATAAAACTAGGAATTTAACTAATTTTGATCATTTTAATCATCAAATATATATATATATATATATATATATATATATATAAAT